ATTTCCCTGTGCTATACAGTATAAATTTGTATACCTATTCTATATATACCTGTCAGTATCTACAGATTTCGAACTCCCAGTCTATCCCTTTCCACCCTCCTCTCCCCTGGCAACCAGAAGTTTGTATTCCGTGTCTGAGTCTGTTTCTGTTTTATATATAAGTTCATTTGTCGTCTTTTTTTTTTTTTTTTTTTTTTTTTTTTTTTTTTAGATTCTACATATGAGCCATATCATATGGTATTTTTCTTTCTCTTTCTGGCTTACTTCACTTAGAATGACATTCTCCAGGGACATCCATGTTGCTGCAAATGGCATTATGTTGTCATTTTTTTGGGTCAATTGAGTAACTTATTGTGTGCTTTTCCTGAAGTGTGCTGCCAAACTAACTTTGTCAGGCATTTTATTTGGTCATTGTTTTGTGATTGTTACTTATTAAACCAAGATGCTTTAGGACCATGATTTTATGGTTGAGGAACAGTTAGGATTGATCAGCTTCAGTTTTTCTGCCTATTAATATGAAATATTTGAGCAGGGAAACAGATAATAGGAATAGATAGTAACAAAAGATTATAGTAGAGATAAAAAATACAAGAAAAAGTTTTTAATTCCACTATCCAGAAATAATCACTGTTAACATATTGATATATTTTAAAATAGAAAATTGGGGACAGAATATAGAGCCCAGAAATAAATGCACACACCTGTGGTTAATTGATCTTTGACAGAAGGCAAGAATATACAATGGAGGAAAGACTGTCTTGGCAAGTGGTGTTGGGAAAGTAGGACAGCGACATATAAATCTGAAATTAGAACACTCCCTCACACCATACACAAAAATAAGCTCAAAATAGCTTAAAGATTTAAACATAAGAGAGGATGCTGTAAATCTCCTAGAGGAGAACATAGGCAAAACATTCTCTGACATAAATCATAGTGATGTTTTCCTAGATCAGTCTACCCAAGGCCATAGCAATAAAAGCAAAAATAAATGGAACCTAATTAAACTTACAAGCTTTTTTGCACAGCAAAGGAAACCATAAACAAAATGAAAAGACAACCTACAGACTGGGAGAAAATATTTACAAATGGTGTATCTGACAGGGGCTTAACTTCCAGAATGTACAAACAGCTCATATAACTCAATAACAAAAAACAAACAACCTAATCAAAAAATGGGCAGAAGACTTAAACAGACATTTCTCCAATGAAGACATACAAATGGCAACAGGCACATGAAAAGATGCTCACCATCACTAATTATTCAGGAAATGCAAATGAAAACTACAATGAGGTATCACCTCACACTGGTCAGAATGGCCATCCTTAAAAAGTCCACAAATGATAAATGCTGGAGAGGATATGGAGAAAAGGGAACCTTCCTACACTGTTGGTGGGAATGTAATTTGGTGCACCTAACAGGATGGAGATGCCTTGAAGAACTAAAAGTAGAGTTACCATTTTATCCAGCAATCTGACTCCTGGGCATATGTCCAGAGAAAACTCTAATTTGAAAAGATACATGCACCCCAAGGTTCATAGCAGTACTATTTACAGCGGTGAAGACATGGAAGCAACCTAAATGTCCATCAACAGGTGACTGGATAAAGAAATTGTGATAGATGCACACACACACTAGACTACTCGTCAGCCACAGAAAAGAATAAAATAATGCCGTTTGCAGCAACATGGATGGACCTAGAAATTATTATACTTAGTGAAGTAAGTCAGACAGAAAGATGGCTATCATCTATCCCTCATGTGGAATCTAAAAGAATGACACAAATGAACTTATTCACAAAACTGAAACAGACTCACATGTAGAAAGCAAATTTAGGGTTACCAAAGAGGAAGACGGGATAGGGAAAAGTTAGGATTTGGGAATAGCAGATACAAACTACTGTATATATATAATACGTAAACAGTAAGTCCCTACTGTACAGCACAGGAAACTATATTCAGTATCTTGTACTAACCCATAATGAAAAAGAGTATGAGAAAGAAAATATATGTATAACTGAATCACTGTGCTGTACACTAGAAATTAACACAATGTTGTCAGTCAATTGTACTTACGTTGAAAAAATAAAAAATTGGAACTATACTGTATCTTCAGTTTCATTTTACAACTTAGAATTGGTACAAGCTTTTCTCATTTCATTAAATATTCTTTCAGAACTTTTAAATAACTGCATAATATACTCTCCTATGGATGGATCATAATTTATCAATTTACCTGTATTTTATCTATTCTTGGACAGTTAGGGTATTTCTAACTTTTTTTGCTTTTGCAAATAATGCTGTAGGGAGCATTTTGGCATACATACATTTGTGCGTATCTTGGATTATTTCTGTGGTTTTTTTTTAAGGAGTAGCTATTTATGGGTCATAGAGTATAAATACTTCAGTGGCTGTTATACATAATGCCAGATTGTGCCCAGGATTATTATATGAACTAGTTTGTATTCCCATTATCAGTGTGTGAGAATACCCATTTTACCATATCTTTTCCAAAATGTGCTGGTTATCTTATGGTAATAATCATTTAAAAAATAAATTAGGTGAAATTTGCATTTCTTTGATTACTAATGAGGTTAACATTTTGAATCTTTATTTTCCTTTTGTATTTCTTTTACAAGCAGCCTATTAAAGATTTCTTAAAATGCATTTTTCCTCTGTAACATGTGCTTCTATTTCTTACTGATTTGTACTTGATGAAATGTATTAACTAATTGTCTATGTGTTGCTTATTTAGATTTTGCCTATTTTGGTTATGAAATGGTTTATGTCATTAAAATTCTAAATTTTTACGTAGTCATATATATTTCCTATTCATTTTAATTTCTCTCCCTTCACCCCATGGCTTTTCTCCAACCTAAGATCAGATAGTCATCTATATTCTATGTACTATACTATTTCTATTATCTTTATACTTTTTTTTTCTTTGGACTTTAATTCATTTGGAATTTATTCTAGAAAGATACAGGGATCTGATTTTTTTCTCCCGAACATTTAAATACTTGTCACAACACCGATTTATTGATAATCTTTACTTTTCCCCCCTATTTGGAAAACTGTCTTGGTCATACGCTTTAATTTTTATATACACCATCATTGTATATCTACCATAATTACAAATTTTTGTATTTGAGTTTACATTTTCCTACCTAGTGGTTATGAAATGATGTCACTATTTTTGTATTTTTCTTGTTTATATTTTGTTTTTGTATTTCTATTGAGGTTTAACCATTAGTTAATGTTTTTATTTGTATTTATTGTATTGCCTCTTCAGATCTTTGGCCCATTTTTTTATTAGTATTTTGCATTTTTATGAATTTGTAGCAGTTTTTCCCGTATTCTGGGTTGTAGGGTTTTTTTTTTCTTTTTACTGTTGTTATAGCCATATAATCAGTTTTTCCCAGTCTGTGATTTGACTTCACTTTGTTATTAAATTTTAGTATAGTTGAACTCATCAGTCTTAACACTATGGTTTATGTTTTGCAACCTTAATTTTACAGATCCTTATTGATCACTTACTGTGTTTCAGGCACTGTTTTAGACACTTGAGATACATTGTCGACAGGATACACAAGATTTCTATAGCTTGTATTTGAGAAGCTCTTCTGTACCTTGAGTTCATAAAAATATTCATGTTTTTTTTCCCTAAAAGTTTAAAATTTTGCTTTTTCACTTTTCAGTCATTAATCCACCTGGAATTTATTTTTGCATATTATATCAAGTAGGAAATCTAGTTTAACTGTTCTATCTGAATAACCAATTATCCCAGGATCATTTATTGACTATTTATTGACATTTATTGTTATTTCTCAACTGTTTTGTGGTCTTACCTCTGTTGGGTATCAAGTTTCTGAGAGTTTGTTTCTCTCTGTTTATTGGTGTATTTCTGTTATCTTTTGTGTCTGTACCACATTGTTTATTACTATATCCTTATAATAAGTCTTTATGTCATAGATCTGCCTGTCTTATTCTTCAAAATTGTCTGACCTGTTCTTAGCTCTTGGCCTTCCCTTATGAAATTTAGAGTCACCTGTATTTCAGTTATATCCTTGGTTGTGTCTTTCTTGTTGTCTTCTTTTTCTTATGACCATTTTAAAGAGTAGTTACAAATATTTTTCAGCTTAAAAAAAGTAGTATAATGGGGAAAGAAGGCAAATAAGAGAGAAGCATATAAAGCAAAAGTTGCAAATCGCTTTGATAGCAGTTTACTGAGACCTTCCAGATATTTTTCTGGACGTGTACAAATGTTCATAAAAGAAAAAGCTGGCCATATGGATACTGTTTTGTAGTTGGCTTTATTAATTTAATATTTTAAAAGATATTCTTCTATATCTCCAACTCATTCCTCTTGATGGGTGCATCGAATGTATATACACAGTAATTTAACCAATTCTCATATGATGGACTTGTAGATAATTTACCTACTTTTTGAACTTGCAGTTATTTTCAATTACTGTTGATTCTCACTGGAAAAGTGGAGGTTGTGCAGTTTATTTCCCATCTCCCTGATGACTCCCACTTATTTTTTTCAAGGAGCATTAGTGGAGTTCTGCCAAGAGCTCTCCTATTTACTTTTTAAGGACACTGGCACATAGCTTTGTTAGGTTGGAAGAGTTGACAGTTAACCTAGTTGACAGTTTCCGATGGTAAATTCTTCAGTTTGGTGCTATCTGTATTATATTAAAAAGAAATACTCTTAGAGGCTTTTGTTTTGTTTTGTTTTTAATGTATAGTATTCTAGAGAAGAGTGTTAATGGTGTAGTGTTAGAGGTAGCAGCCATATTGAATAGTTGAGAAATGAGTGAATTTATGAATATGAGATTGAAGAGTTTAAGTAGCTCTTTGCTACACACTTGATTATGAGAATTTAGGGGAGGAAGTGCGGCAGTTCTTGCCATTTTGGTTTTTATTTTGTTACACTTTCTGAAAGAAGTTGAAGTTGGATTTCTATGTTACATAATTTGTCCTTTTCTTAATCTTCTTAGCCTCCACCAGGCAATGTGAAAATGCCTAATGTACCCAGTACACAACCAGCAATAATGAAACCAACAGAGGAACATCCAGCTTATACACAGATTGCGAAGGTTAGTCCATGTTAATGTGTAAATTTATATTGGAAGTTAAAATATCAATGACATTTGCTTTCAGAGCGAAATAATTCTTTATATAGTTTATTCCTTATTTAATTTTTAACTCACTTTTGAGTCTGGATTAGCTAGCTTCTCAATCCTGTAATACTCATAACTCTTTTTCAGCTTAATAACATTTGCTTTATTCCGTTATTAGCAGTTATTGAATTCATATATCATCTTGGTGTACAATTTGTGTAGTGAAATTTTTATTGCTTTTGGTTTCACTTTTTAATACACAGTTTCATTACAATAACAATGATAGATCAACAGATACTATTGGAAGAGAGTTATGATGGTTAAGCAGAGCACAGTGGTAGGAAGTAGAATGTGGCAAAAAAACCAAGAAAAAAGGAGATAAACAGGATGCCTGGTATTACATGAAGGCAGATGGAGAATTTCTTCTTAAACTGAAATCAGAATTTCTTAACCATAGTTTCCTTTCACCTCATTATCATATAAACTAGAAGATATCGTACAGTATTCTTGCATTGGGAACCTTAATGTACCATTTAACCCAATTGACAGGAGCCAGCTCAGTTGCTCATTTCTCCATGTGTCTGTTTTCCTCAACTGTTCTGTTTCTGTCCTTTACTCTCACCTTAATTTTGTTTTCCCAATTACCTTAGGATTTTGACTGCTCTTGCTGAGAGAATTTTTTCTTGTTCTAATGGGCCCAACATTTCCACTGAGAGTTTTCATAACCAAAAGGACAAAATGGGCCAAATATTTCCATAATACTTATGAAACTGTAATATTCAGTGAATTCTTATATTTTGGAAGAGTATTTGAATTAGGTTTCTAGCATAGTAGAGAAGTAGGAGTATAGTAGAAGTATAAATGTTACTGTATTTTATACTTCTGAGACCCTATTCACTTATTTTTTGTTTAGGAACATGCCTTGGCCCAAGCTGAACTTCTGAAGCGCCAGGAAGAACTAGAAAGAAAAGCAGCAGAATTAGATCGTCGAGAACGAGAAATGCAAAACCTTAGTCAACATGGTAGTATCCAAAGAAGTTTAGACGTTATTTTTATTTCAAACACTTTAAAGTAGGCCTGAACTAACTCTAGGTCATTTGTTTTGTGGTTAAAATCTGCCCTGTTATTTTAGCAAGTAGATCATACATGGCAGATTTCCTCTTTGATACTCTGTAACTCTCTGATCTTGGCTGATTTGCATAGTATTTTGATAGATTAGAACAGCCTCTTTACAAGTGAATGCAAATGTGGTAATTTTGGTTTACTGTAAGGTCAGGAGCCTTTGATTCTGCACTTGGGCCCTCTTTGGGTCATTGGAGCTTAATGAGTACATGGGAATGTGCCTGACATTTGACAGCATTTGACTCTTCTAGTTTATTCATATCAGTTTCAAATTAATCTGCCCCTGTCCTTACAAGTATATCCATGTATGTCATACCATGCTAAAAAAGTGTTTGTGGTGTCTCTAAGGAAGCCTAGATATTTTGAGAATGTCAAAGGAATAAGTAAGTGGTAAATTAATTATTTGCTATGAAATCTATTCAGGTTGTCACTACCAGAGCTTATTTCAAGGGAGATTCTTAGGGGAAGCTAGCAAGTCTCTGGGTAAAAACGGATGAGAGAGCTAGACAAGTCATTGTTAGTATGTCTGGATAGTGATGGAGTGACAGTGTTAGGATGATGATAATGTACTGAAACGGTTTCATCCTTATCTTAGAATGTGTAAGTATAGGGCCTCTTGAGGACACATCTATTCTGGGCTGTTTTCTTGCTTGCAGCAGCATCTGTGAAAGGAGAAACTAAAGGTTTAATTGAAATAAACATTTCTGAAATACTAACAAAAATCTGTCTTGTTCCCTTAGCTTTGTCTAATACAAATTATTTCTATGAGCGATGTTTTAGTAAATGAAGTAGTAATGAAGTGTGGGAAATTAAGAGACATTTAAGTACTTTTCATCTGTTAACCCATTTCATCATCGGTACAATTCTGTGAAGGGTGGTAAGTTGTTCTCACTTTACAGATGTAGAAACAAAGTCTTCAGGAGGTTAGGTTGCCCGAGGCCCCCCAGCCAGTAAGTGTCTAGGTGCGTATAGTTTCAGAGCCTTGGTTCTTCACTATTATTTTCTGCTTCTCAAGTAATTATGAGACTCGTATGAGAAATGTATAGATTATATGAAGTTTGAAAAGAATGATAAAACAGTGGAGACATGTTGGGAAGAATCAGAAATAGATGATGCTTTTTCCCCTACTATGAAAATGTTCCTGGTCTATGAAAAAGTACATAAAATCTAATTTTAAAAATTGTGGGATATAATATCTAAAACAAGAAAATGGCCTTTAGGTGCTATTTTTAACCCTCTATTTTTAATGTTTGACTTCTTACTTTAACTTCAGTTTTTTATTTCTCCCACCACTTCCCAAGCCTTTTTACAGTCTCGTTTCTTTATATAGACATATTTTCTCCCCTTACAGTTTCAATATGTTTTTTCTCTAGGTTTTTGAAGGTGCTATAATTCCTTAGCTTGTTTCTCATGACTGTTTCATGTTTTTGCATAGTTTTATGCTTTTCTTATGTGTCTTTGAATATTATTTTTTCCAGACTTAGAGATTTTAAAATTTGATTCTTTGGTATTGGTTATCTTTTGTTTCTTCACTTGTGTAAACAATAGAAAACTTAAAAGATTCAGAAGCTGGTCTTCCTTCTCCATGTGGGCTAGGAATTATATTTAAAGAGTTAAGATGCTGAGGAGAAAATTGTAGAGTTGGCCTTCATGTGAGAGTCAAATTCTTGGGACTTGAAAATAAATCTATCTTTAGGGCCGAATCACAGGGTATGTCCCTATGCTCTTTTCTTTTCTTGTTTCAACTTACATAAGTGATAAGACACTAGAAAATTATTTTAGTATCTAATGAGTTCTAAATTGGGTTCTTTTGGGAAGATTTTTAAAAATAAGAAATTTGATTTTCAAAGTTATGGGAATGTAGAGATACAGTGTTATATTTTCAAAACACATGTTAAAAGAATAATGTTCTTTGTTATGAAACAAATAATTATGTGCAAAAAGAATAGCACATACTTGTCCTAATATAAATAACTTCTTTTTTTACTTTCAGGTAGAAAAAATAATTGGCCACCTCTTCCTGGCAATTTTCCTGTGGGACCTTGTTTCTATCAGGATTTTTCTGTAGACATTCCTGTAGAATTCCAAAAGACAGTAAAGATTATGTACTACTTATGGATGTGTGAGTATGGAATAAATTATATATTTGTTTGACAGTTTATATTTTATTGTCAGAATCCACTTTTTAAAAAGTCCTATATTAAGGATAGTATCATAAATTGGTCTTTTCCCACAGCTCTTTTAATTTGAAGTGCAATGTATCATATTTAGGTAACTTCAGAATTTTACACTGATGTGACAGTCTGAATTCTTAGCTGAGGGAGACCTACATATTGAGAACAGGCATTCTTTTGAGGATAGGATTTCCCATATAGTAGAATTTTACAATGATCCTTTTTCCCTGAAAAATGTTACCTAGGCAATATTTGCTTTAAAAAAATGATTTATACTATTTTTATGCAAATGAAGGTGATTAAAGCATTATGACTATTTTTTAAAAGGGACATAAAGTATTGAAGTATTATAAACTAATTTTTCTTACAGCTTTGAGCACAATTTATTTTTCATTTTCAAGTGGTGATGAATCCTTTTATTATTGAAAGTACCTAATTAATATAGGATGTTTCACTGAATAAAAAATTAAGACATACATTTTAGGCTGTGATGCTCAATTGCTTTGAATATAATTGCAACACATGGAATACTAAAACTAAATGTCAAGCTGTTACCAGTTTTTTGTATATACACAGAATTCCCACTTACTCTGTTTCGTTTTTATTCCAAACAGCAGTCTCAGCCCCATTTAACTTCATTGTGTCAGTAGGAGAGGTAGCTGTCATGACTTATCTACACAACTGCTGGGTTAATGAATACTTTTAGGGTACATTCTTGTTGGAAGAAATTTGTGTGTTCTTACCATATGACTAGGGAGCCTCCCTCCACCAAATACATGAGAGAATTTTCCTCAAAATCTTTTAAGAGCATTTTTCACATACGTGAATGTGAGAAGTGATTCCTAATGGATAGTACTTTTTTAAAAAAAATTTATTCATTTATTTGAGGGGTAACCAGGTTTACTTATTTATTTTTAGAGGAGGTACTGGGGTTTGAGCTCAGGGCCTTACGGATGCTATATATATATATATATATTGTCCTTTCCCATGGATAGTACGTTTTTAACTCATATTTTTAGTTTCTTTTGAAACAATGTTGATCTGATTTCTTTGGTTAATCCTGAGTGTCAGTAGTATTACATAATTTTATTATTAAAGGTTTTGATTCCATATATGTGCATACTAAACAACTCATTTTATTTAATTGATATAAAGTATATGCATTTGTCAAATAATTATTTTTTAATAAGCAGAAATTGGCCTAGAATTTTAAGTATAAGTTCTTTGACTTTAGTGAAAAAACATGTTTTTGATGGGGGAGATGGGTGTTGGAAGAAAATTCTGTAAGGAATTTAGTAAACAGAAATTGAATGGGGAAGATGATTAATTTTAACTGAATGGTTAACTGCTTTACAATGCTGATTGTTTCAAAGTAGGCCTGTTTTATTTTGAAAATACATAAGTTAGAGGTTCATAGAAATAATTTGGTTGGCTATAGTTTTTCCTAACCCTGTTCAGTTGCCAGATCTGTTAACTCTATTCAAAGAGGGCTCAAGATTCCATCCAGGTAAGGCTCTGATTTGAAGCATTATCTGAAATAAAGTAAGATCTAGTGCTAACTCAGTAATGTCTCTAAATTTCATAGAATGTAACCTGCTTTAATAAATTATTTTCAAGAAGCGTCAGCTTGTTGTTGATTTTGGAGTTGACTAATGCTTCACACTGTAATAATGTAACAAGAGAACATTTATTAAGGACTTACTTATGCCAGGCACAGTGCTAGTCACTTTATAAACATTATGTTATTAAATCTTAACCACACTGTGAAGCAGGTACTCTGTTATCTAGTTTTGTAGATTGGGAAACTAAAGCTTAAGAGAGTTTGAGGTAACTTGTCCAAGATTACACAGTAAATAAGGCTGAAGTTGGATGCCTTGACTCTAGACCCCAGAGTCCAGATTTCCACATTATTCCACCTATAAAGTACCAAAGGAAAGAAGTAATTTACATTTTAAACCCAAATGGGGTAAAGATATGCTTTCAAATGCGCCTTACTCGAAGCGAAGCAAATAATTTACTCTACAAAAGGACTGAAGAACTTAGAACTATCACTTTGAAGTGAATCTCAACCTCTTTGAGTATACTCCTGAATTTAAAGAAAAAAATAAAAATAAGCCAGCTACATTAAAGACCATTTAGTGAAGAAAATAATATACTGTTATAAAACAGTTTATTGTAGTATCTGTTTTGTAGTGCAGAACTTAGCAAGAAAAGTAGTGTAGTGACAGTTGCAAATTTAGGTCTACTAATACCAGATTTGAGTGTTTAATAAAGCAAATTAAAATTTTATATGAAGGAGGGTTATTCAACTTGGAAATCATGTAAACAAGAGGGCCTAAAATATTCTTAGTGTTTTACCTGTGCTTGGAATCCACAAACGGGTTGGATTGGATTGATATTGGCAACATAGAATTGTGCATTTCACATTGCCTTGTCTTTCTAAGTGTTTTTTGATCTTTGTATAAGTGAACTGATTAGTTAGTAAGCCTAGATGTTTTACTTTTCATTGGGGTACAAATAAGTGACTTACTGATCATGATTGTTGGTTACTATGAAAACATGTAGAAAAAATTTTAATAGATTATGCAGAATTTAATTGATATATTAATCTACACTTGGAAGAATTTAAAAATACACATATTCATATATTTTTTTTTCCTTAGGTGGATTAGGAGATACACCTTTAAAAGTTATTTCTCTGAAGATTGAAATTTGAGTTAGAATGTTGTGAACATTTAAAACTTTTTTAGGCAGTTGGATGCCCTTTAATATTATAGAATAATACCTTACAACCTCTCGAATTCTGTTTTTAAGCCCTTAACAGAACTACTTTTATTTTGAGGCAAAGGATTTTGAGTAAATTTATCAGTAAGTTAGCTTTCATGAATTAGATGTCTTAATAGAAATAAAGTCTTTTCCTCTGTAGTAGAATGGAATGGAATTTTAAAGCTGGAAGAACTGCATTTCTCTGCTTGACAAATAGAAATGCATGAAGGTTTATTAGCTCAGTGTTACATCACTATAACCCTGGTGCTTTCACTCTTCCTCTAGAGCTTTCTCTTCCACAGTGTGTATATTTATCTACTTGTTAGAGAAGAGCAAATTAAGAGGCATCCTAAAATGTGTTTTTATCCTGTTTCATTAAGTATTAATTTTATTTGAGTAATAATTTAAAGATAAAGTAACAGTATTTTAGCTTTTGAAATAATTTATTTCTTGCAATAAATTAAGCTTATGAGTAAATTTTTAAAAATCCTTTTTAAAAGTTATTAATTAGAACAGATAAATATTGTTCTTTAGGATCATAGTGTACTTATATGTTAATCAGATTTATTAGTGTTGGTCTGTCAGGGAAAGCGATTATTAACAACATAGGAGAGTTCGCCAAGATCTCTTTGTGTGAAACAAAAGAAAGGTTCTGCCACAGCAGCTGAAGTGCATCATAGTGTACTTTCTTTTCCCAAATAAGTTTAGTTCTCTACCAAAACACTCTTTTTATCCCAGGACTTTAAAAAAAGGACAACTTTATGAAGATGAATTAATAATCCTTACAGATTGGCTATGTAGTCACTGGAAATTTCTACTATTTTAGTGTTTTTAGTCCAATGATTTTAATTAATTTTATTGCTTAAAAATGTTACAATTAGATTGCACAAGGCACTTCTCCAGTTTTCTCTTCTCTTGTGTAGTTTGCTCTGGAAGGAGTCTGCAGCCCCACTCTGTGAAAATATAATTCTGAGTAGAGGATCGTTTTCCTCTCACATACTGGCAGATACTGCTTTTCTGCTTGGGCCTTGGATCAAGAGACACATCACATGTTTCCTTCTCAGGGAACGAACCCCCCCCCCCCCGCCCCCAGGGATGTGCTTCTCTGATTTAGCTGTGTGATTGCCTGTTAGGAGAGGACCAAAAGAATTTTTACCAAGCAGTGCATGTATTAGAACTCCTTTTCCTGTGAATACTCTGTTTTCAAATTAAATGTGTGAGAAACAGCAGTGTTTTGAGAAATCTTAAATGGAAACCAGGAGGTAGAACACATTTGCTCTTAGGAAGTATTTTTTCATTTATAATTTTTGTTAAATGAACATTTAAATTGAATGTAAACATTTCTATTTTGTTTTTTGATTCCACAGTCCATGCTGTAACACTGTTTCTAAATATCTTCGGATGCTTGGCTTGGTTTTGTGTTGATCCTACAAGAGGGGTTGATTTTGGATTGAGTATCCTGTGGTTCTTGCTTTTCACTCCTTGTTCATTTGTCTGTTGGTACAGACCACTTTACGGAGCCTTCAGGTAAAATGTGTGCAATTTAAAATATGCTCTTTAAAACCTGTGAAGTAAATAATTTGTAGTATACTTTAAAGGGAAAATTGATATATTTTCATTGACATTTTTTTCATTATTGTACCACATATCTTCAGGAAAGTCTGTAGATAACATCTCTGTTAAGTATTAAGTCCATGTATAACATGCTTGTATATTCATTAGACTTTGTAACTAATAATATCCCGTTCTTTTCTCCCACTTGAGAAAAAGCTCAAACATGAAAATGAATAAGGGGAAAGTGAGAACAATCTTAGGCCTTAATATTTGTAAAAGATTCTATTTTATATGATCCAGCTGACTTAAAAGAAAATTTTACTCTTTATTCCCCCCTTCAGAAAAATCGAAAATGGTGATTACCTAGGTAACCTGGGTAAGGTAAATATACGTGTGATGTTTAAAGTGAGTCACTTTTCACCTAGCAACTTGGTAATTATTTTCTGTGTAAATTCATTTTTCGTTTTTCAAAAGGCAGCAACATTTTAAAACTATTTAGACTGTAAGGTTAAGTATACTATTTTGCATGGTATATTTTAATCAGAGGTTAAGGATTAACATTTCTTAAATGCATGCTCTGTGGGATATTACTAGGTGTTGTAGGGGGGAAAAAGATTGATTAGCTTAAGTTTGAAAACAGTTGGATAACAAAATTAAATGTTTCTTTATTTCAGAATTTCTTAAACTCTAAGAGCCTAATGTGCTTTGTGATATGACCATGAAACCATTGTGTGTGTGTGTGTGTGTGTGTGTGTAGTACCTTGTTGGGCTATTGCTTTAGGAAGTAAACATTGGGAAATGCTGATTTAGATGATAGCTATGTATGAGTATATATATTCAGTCATTTATCAACTTATTTGAGGAAGCTCATTTGTGAAGAGCAAACCTCTTTCAACTCTCATATATGAGGAGCAGCATTACTAGGAAATTGCTTTTTTGTGTGTGTGCAGATGATATTTTAGGGAAATTAGAGGGCACATTCAGCTGTTGAACTTTTTTTTCCATTTCAACAAAAAATTTGATTATCTGAAATGTTGTATCACCATCCTCTCCCAATGGAATTAGAAATGCAGATATGCAAACAGACTGAAAAAAGAAAAAAGGAAAAGGGAGAAGATGAGGTAATTTGGATTAAAAAAAGGTGTAATTCAACAGGAAACTAAATTGGTTAGAAATGGAATGAAGGCAACCAAATAGGTGGGAGGAGGAAAAGGGAGGAAAGAACCTTTGGGTCTATTGGAATATGAGAGGTTGTTTGTCAGGGAATGGGGAGAGGCACCCGGGTAGATGTAGTCTGGAGAAGAATGAAAAGGACCTGTTTGCTCCTTGCATGAACAGAGCATGAGTTACTGCTGCTCTTTTCTGTGTTATCTAAGTCTGGCTTACAAAGGTTTTTAACTTTTAATTTTTTAACATCTGGCCTCTATCTGCCTACTTCTGTCATGTTACCAGTATACCTGTAATGATGTTTGTGGTTGGGAATGGGGATGTCTTTGAGACTTTAAAAGTGACCTGAACCTAGAGCCTGGATTTTAAATCTTCTGTGACAAATGTAGCCAAAACAAACTACAAACTACTAAAAGCCAGCTTTCTGCTGTTTATTACTTCAAGTCACTCGGTTCCTTTTATTCCCTTGCTTTACTAATTGAAATAAAAATACTTTGTGGAACATTTTTACTTCTGGCATTATTAATTTCTAGGCTGAATTCTTAGCTGCATCTCAGAGTTTATCACAAGTATGTTAATTATCTGGGTTTCACTGTCAGAGCAGAACTGAGAGGAATAATTTTTTATGTGGAAAGTTGAAATTAAAGTACTTTAAATCATTAACATACCGTCTCCATGTGTAACTCTGGCGTTTCCTTCATCCAGATTGCGAAGGGTTTCTGGGTCTATTAAGTCTCTCCTGAAGTATTCAGTAAAGTTTCTTAAACATTTATTGATGACAAATTTCTCCCTTAAGTATGAAAATCTTAAACCAGATACATTGGATATGATATTTTTATGAAAAACAGGATTTTAAATAGACTTTGCATAGTCACACTAGTGCTTTATTTGAGATTAGTTTTGACCGGGATTACTGCCTTTTGAGAAGGAGCAGAGTCAGAGGATATGCAAGTGTTTCATATTCTGTTTTAAGAGCATTGATTAAGAAATGAAACACAAGCACCTAAACATACTACGTAAGTCAGTAGGAAATGGGTAACTAAAGTCTTTTTGGCCAGATTCACGTATTTCTTAAAGGAAGTTGTTATTGAATGAAAGCATTTGGTTTTTATTAATCAGACTTTGGAGTGAAGCTAAGGTGCTTTTTAAAAATTTTTCAAACTTTTTTCTTCTCTGGCTAATGATATATTTGCCTCTACTGCCATAAAATTATTTGAATATCTACCGCGAATTTTATTTGTTCAGGTTTCCCTAGAAGTGAAGCAAAGAATAGTAAGCAGTAAGAAAAACATGGCAGGGATTTTAGAATAAATTAGTCATTGCAAACATACAGATTTGAGGGTACCTTAGGTTTGAGAATGTGATCAGATTTTTTTAAGTTGCCCTGTAAATTTTTTTTTTCTTGTAGATGGGTGGTAATTCCAAGTTTCTAGAGTAGCTGTTAGCTTTGTGGTAGAGTGCTAAAAAATAACTAGAAGACATATTAGTATATCTTTATTCTAGAATGATCTGTTTTTTGTTTGTTGTCCCTTAGTCAGTTGAAGTTGCATTTTTAATTGCCGTATGCAGTTTGTCTCCTCTTTTGCCTTCCTGTTGACTCATAGTCTAAAAGTAAATAAATTCAATTTTGATCAAGAAAATCCTTTTTAAAGGTTAACAGTTAACCTTGTTATCAAGAATTTGTTGAAATTTGGTTACTATGATGGCTGAATAAACCTTTTTTATATTAACTTTAAGCTGAAAAATATAGTAATTTTAACTGAATTATAAAATGCCTTTAGATTGAGTTGAAGTATTTGATAAAACTTTAAAGCTCATTGAAAAATTTAAATATATTTAAGTGATTATAGTCAATAATCTAATACAATAAATCATACTGATGATTACATATAATGACATTAAAATGTGGTAAAGGTAGATTTTATTTAGGAATAATCATTTTAAAATTAGTTATTACGCATGAGAAGTTGGTTTTCCAGTGTCATCTGAGTTTCTGTTTTAGTACTTTATTTGCAAGTTCTTTTATTGAGATTACTTGATTCTCTTAGGGAGATGGTGATATTAAAATAAATAACTTATGATTGCAAAGCAGTTAGAAAATATGAAGTACCCTAAGGTTAAATTAATCACCCATTGAACACAGACAGTATATACTAGGCTGGAGATACAAAGGAGACATGGTACTTGCCCTGTAGAAATGTATAATATATAAATGATTTAAAAGTAGGCATTTCTGAAACTTTGGCTATACAAAAATAGTGATACTTAAACACCTCAAAAATTTGAATTACAAAGTAATATTGATATCATACCTGTGATATAGTTCTAAATAGAAGATTAGTTATTTTCAAGTTAGTCATCTTAAATTACCTTTTTGAGGATTTAAGTTTTCAATAAATATTTTTCTCTGATATCAGAAAATTAACAAACCTTGGTTTTTACTGGCCCCATTGAAATATCAGAATGTTCATGAAAAAGATGGCTTTTAAACTGTATAAAGTACTATTCATTATGAATATGAGTTCTTAGTTTTCATCAAAGAAGCTCCTTTTACTGATATATGGAAAGGACTTTGTCCTCCTAAATGAATATCATTGCCTGAATCTGAAGGAGAATTCTATAGAGACGTTTCAAGTGTGTATGTTTTAAAAAGTTAGGTATATTAGGTGTCAGAATTAAATTTAGAGTTGTCCTTTTGTCATTGATGTGTTTTTAAAAGACTAACTTTGTTCTTAATTTATGCTTCCACAAATCACTAAGTGTTATGTAAATTCTTTAAAATATTAGATAATTATGAATGAGGCAGTGTTTTGTTGAAAAACTCTAACTATTGGAAACAGACCAATGAAGGGTTAGAATCCTGGCTTCCCCACTTAAAAGTTCTGTGCTCTTATGAAAATGCAGTAAAACTTTTCAGTGCCTCAGTTGGTTGAGTGTAATTTGGGCATAATATTTGCAGAGTTGATAAGAAGATTAAGGGTAATGCATGCAAAATATTTGACTTTAAAGGTGGCCTACATATGATAGCTGGAATGTTTTACTTTTTTGTTTTTGTTAGGTTTTATCATTTACTTTTGATGATCCATAAAACTAGTATTTGTTATCAGTTATTTATTCTAGTTCATTGCCCTTTGGTGTCCCATTTGGTGTCTTTTTTGATAATAGCTTTTCTAACAGGCATATTTCATTGTGGTTTTGGTTTGCATTTATCTGATGTTTAGCAATGTTAAGCACCTTTTCATGTATCTTTTGGCCATCTGTATGTCTTCTTTTGGGAACTACCTATTCAGATTTTCTGTCCATTTTTGGATCACATTGTTAGGTTTTTTTTTTTTTTGTATTGAGTTATATGAGTTCTTTATATATTTTGGGTATTAACCCTTTATATGTATGATTTGCAAATATTTTCACCTGTTTGGCAGATTTCCTTTTCATTTTGTTGATGATTTCTTTTTGCTACACAGAACTTTTTTTCTTTCCTGTAGTTCTACTTGTTGATTTTTGCTTTTGGTGTCAAATCCAAAGAATCATTGCCAAGTCTAATATCAAGGAATTTACCACCTATGTTTTCTTCTAGGAAGTTTTATGATTTCCCAGTTTGATTTAATTTTTGTGTATGGTTTAAAATAGTTGTCCAGTTTCATTCCTTGGTATGTGGCTGTCAAGTTTTCCCAATACTGTTTATTGAAGAGACTGTCCTTTCCCCCATTATGTATTCTTGGTGCCTTTGTAGAATGCTAATTGACCATGTGTGTGGGTTTATTTCTAGACTCTCTATTCTGTTCCATTGAACTATGTGTCTATGT